TTCAAAGTTCCGGGACTGAGCCGCAGGTGATTGGCTACTTGGGTATTGCTCGTTGCGGTGCCGTCTTTACTGTGTCTGCCGATGTGTTGAGGAGAACTCTTGGGATGGGTAAACAGAAACTAACATGCAGCTGCGGATGAACATGCGGTGGCCGGAGGCCACCCTTACTCAGGAGAGGCACCTGAGCCTATGCTGCCGTGCATAGTTATCGGCTGCGAATGTACACCCAGATTCAGAGCAATCGTGCCACGTGGTGGATGGGCTGGGTTTATTTTGAAAGCCGGTCAAGCTGTCGGTGAGCTGTGGGGTAGTATTATTAGCCCACCAACCATGTCCAGGTTCACGGTGGAGTATTCCCAGTCTTCAATTACGCTTTTGGCTTAAATGGCTTGGGTCCCAAACACCCGGGGCTTTGACAGCAAAAGCAGCTTGTTTTGGAGTGTCACTTCCAGCGGCAACCGGCAATCGCAGCCAGGTTTTGTTGAAAGTGTTATCGACAAGGTACTGACCAAGTAATGCTCATGAAACTGCCATGAATCGAGCCGCATTCTCCCCGCTTGTCACGAGCAAGTCATGCCCAGGATTCTTGGGGATCAAGATGGGTCGCCGCTGGACGAGGTCCTTGGTGCAAGCGTGTTCCTGTTCGGATTTCTGAGATATCTCACCTTTCAGGCACCGAGAAACAAGATGGCTCTCCTCAGCCGCAGCTCGAACGAGGCCACATCGAAAAGGGCGGGGCCGTGGGGGGAGGGGGGGGAGGTTGAAGATGTTGAACACGTGGGTTTCCTGCACAATACCGAACAGCCCACTCCGGTTATCTTTTTTGTCAGGGGGTAGGTATTGCTTAGAGTGGACAGTTGGCTCACATGGGATGTGCAGACCAGGGGATATCTGGTCCTGGGGCCTGGGCGTGCAGCTGAGTTTTATAACAATGGTAAGGTCGGAAACAAAAGCACGAGCCCACAGAGACGCAGATAGGCTGGAGACACACAGGCATGCAGTTTGGCAATGCGGGAATGCTGGTATGCAGGACATAGATCGAGTTAATTCTACGAGGTTGACTCGAAGGATGTGTGAGTGTGTGTACGTATGTACGTATGTAAGTATGTATGTACATATGTATGCAGTGAGCATGTAGAGTTGTGTATGCATGCATCTAGGCAAGCCAGCATGGGCATTAGCCTTTGCACCGGTTGATGAATGCGTGCTGTATCTAAACATACTTACTACGTCAGCATGTGAGCATGCATGTATGTGAAAATGTGTGTATGTATGTATGTATGTATGTATGTATGTATATACCTACACGTATGTGTCTATGTAAAATGTATGCATGCACGACGCACACACGCACGCACGGACGGACGGACGGACGGACGCACGCACGCAGGCAGGCAGGCAGGCATGCATGTATGTACATATGTATGTACAATGATAATGCAAAGCGCTCTCACAAGGCAATTATGCTCCCGAAATGCTTCTTGTCCCCGTTTGTGAACTGACACTCCCAACATGCCTTCCACTTTTTTCACATATGGGACATGCGCATACATCGACGACGCCTTTGTCGGATTTCAACATCGGTGCCATCCATAGTGCTCCCACTGTGACTTTTCTAAGTTGAATGTCGGCACCTTCTTATATTCAAATTGGCTATGTGCCCGTGCACTTTCAGACCAGTCCCAGAGTAGAGACACATGCAATAAGATGTTTATTGGGACTTTGATGAGCGTCGAGGGTTCCTTAGGAACATTGGTGAGTGCACCTTTGGGGTGTCTATTGCGTTGAGTCGGTGTTGATTACGGTAATGCCAGGTCTCGAAGCGCCGAGGTCCTAAGAAGTTGTGGACTTTTCCAAACATCGTGCTCGCACCACATTGTTGTGAGTTCCTGTCTTCCGAAATCATTTTGGACTCATGTGGTGATCTTGGGAGCCTTAGGGGTCCTGGATGGTCCTGATGTGGTTCTTGGGTATGTAGGCCTTGGATAGTAAGGTGCTCTTTCACATTTCGGGTCTGTGCTGCCGTCGTTTTGGTTAGGCTGACGGAGGGAACGAGAGTAAGAGCATATCAGGCAGCTGCTCTCTCTCTCTCTCTCTCTCTCTCTCTCTCTCTCTCTCTTCATCTCCCTCGCTCTCTCTTTCTGATTGTATCCATTTCGATAATAGATATACATGTCTATAGACAGAAATATATAAATATATATAGAAATGAATACATACACATGCACTAGCTTCGACGAACCTAGTCAGTCTATCAGTCAGTCAGTCAGTCTGTTGAGCACTCAATTACGTACATAATTGCGTAGTGAATGAAGCAATTACACATACAACGGCCAGAACACTGACAACCTTCCGTGTCGCAATGGGTTTCAGACTGGAAGTTCTTACCAAGATTCGGGCATACCTCCTGAACCGCACCGTCCCACATCCTATCATCTATCGTGATTGAGCCTGAAGCTGTCTTGAGGTCAGCTGCTAGTTCAGAGCAGTGGCGAGGCTTGTCAGGCGCGTCTGAGACGGAGTTCAGGAAAGGTTTGTGGAGCCCTGGCTACCTCGCGAAATCTTAGCCCTCATGCTACGTGTCTGTTTGTCTGACTTGCTTGAAGCCTCTTTCGACAGCCGGAGCTTTTTGGAACATCAAGGATTGCTTGTATCCTGCCTGACCTCCGGTACAAATCTAAACAGCCGCCCAACTTCCAGCCTTCAGTCATCGCCTTTCCATGTGCTCCCAGCCGAGTAGTGATGGCACGGCTCGAAAGCCCCAGGTTGTCTAGGGACCATAACGGTTCTTCCCTGTTGCAAGTACTGTTACGTATCAAGGACACGATGCTCATGCTGTGCTGGCAGGTTGTGGAGATGCATCCCAGACCGCTGCTGGGCGGGCAAACATGTTCAGACAAGGTATGATTCCAAAGCATGCGTGCTTCACACGTTTTCCTCGCTGACACCATGTGTCAGGGTGTGGGGGAGGCTTTTGTAGCTTTGCTATGAGCTTCGGGCTTTGTGTGGACACAATCGATTCTCGGCAATGTGTCCCTGACCCTGAAAGCACCACGCCCAATCCCTAGAGCCCCACCGGGTAGGAGAGATCTGTTCTCTGAGGTTGCCCGACCGTTGCGTGGTTGTTGAGCTGGAGGGATCTGCATCAGAAGCAGTGTTTGTTGATGGAATCCTTGTAAAGACACAGCCGATGTTGGGATGGCGCGATGTTGCCAAGTGGCTTCGATTCAATGTGTCCTGAGCTGGCTGGGAGGGAAAGCAACTATTCATCTGGAAAGATTCCTGTGGATTTTTCCAGAGTCCTCGTGCAACCATCTCACCTGCGTGAAGACGTGGAGAAGTCTTGGGTAGGTTGTGGTACAACCTCCTCTTGCTGCCTTTTTGTCGCATGACCGCATGCACAGAGATCTCGCAGCGTGCAGAAACGACATGGAGTTCGCATTGCAGAGACCCGAATATATTTGCTAAATCAGTTTGTAGGGTCGCGGCTCTTGACTGTGACAGTATTGCGTGCCTCTGATATTGCACTCATTGCAGTCTTGAAAGGTCTCGAGGGTCACTGTCCTGACCAGGGATGCTGACGTTTGGACTTTTTGGGGTTGAATCGTTACGCCGGCTTCAGGCGGAACGAAGACACCTTTCGAAAGCCATGGCTAGCTTACTCTCATCCCTACATAGGGCTTGTGGTCAGCAAACCCTGAAAGCACCGTGGATTTGCACATCAGGCAAAAACCTCTGACATCAGCGAAGGCATTCTGGATCAGTGATACTCTAGTCTGGGGCAGCAGCATCTGCTGCACAAGCTGTGTAGCGCAGCTGCAATTCTGTTGGAATTCCCATCTTTGTCTGTGTTGTTGGTGTGGTGAGGTTTTTGTGTTTGGCTTGCGCAGCTTCATGCGCGTGTCTTGCAACATGAATAAACACAGAGAGCCACATTTGACAGGTTCAGCTTGGGATTGGAGGTTTGGTTGACAACCTCATCATTCAGCCTGGAAGTTGACATTTCCCAACAAAAAAGTTCGTAGTTTTTTAGCTGCACATGTGACCTAATGCGAGAGCTGTGGAAATTTGGGGTTGCAGGGTTCGTGCGTTCAACAGCGAACTATAGGATTTTAAGCGCCATCTGCAGTCTGATTCACCTCAGACATCCATCTGAAGCCAGCCCGCCCATTGCCCTGCGCGTCAATGCAAGCACCCGTTGGATTCGGCTTGCTACTCCCAGACATCTTTTGGATAGTCCAAAGCTTGAGAGTTAGCGTTGTCAGCTTGCGACTTGAGGTGGGGATGCTGCAGCTTGACAAGCGGGGACAGCTCAGAATATATATTCGCTCGCTGCTCTTTCGTGGCTCCAGCGTCGCTGACCCAAAGTAGGCTTGACACATTGAAATGCATCTGAACACGAGTTTGGCTCGATGTAAATTGTTCCGGCCGCAAACTGAACCATCGTAGTCACTGTTTGTTTCCGAACGGTTCCGCAGCTGTGCCATGCATCCACTTGCTGTATGCTTTTGCGCATACCCCATCTCAGCAAAACCGCTGTATCTCGTGTGTTTGGTAGTCCTCTTTCGAGTTGTCACACGCAATGTGTTAATGGATCACGCGGTTTTGTCAGGTTCGTTTCGAACTGAAGGAGTTGCACATGCATGTTGTGTCACAAAATTGCCATGAGACCTTCGAATTGGCTGGTTGTCGTGCCGTGGGCTTAGAACTTTATTTTTGACAATGTGTGAGAAATCATGTCAACAGTTCAAAACAGACAAGCCGGATCTGCAGGATTAGAGGATTATAAACACAAACAAGAGAACGCGCAGGTTCTGGTCCTTTTGCCGCCCACTCGTTGCAGTGACGAGTTGGGAGACGATCTCATCTTTGCTCTTGGATGCTGAGTTCAGCAACGATGCCTGTCAAGAACACCGTTTGTTGGCTTGTTCGCCTAGCAGCATGTGCTCGCACTACGCAGCGGAACACGCATGGAAGCTTTCCAACTTGCAACAGCTCAGGACTTGCCCTCCATCCCAGAAGCAGGACATGCAGCACATCTGTACCAGGATGTCGTCATTGGAAACGGAAACTTCATGTAGCTAGCACCTTTTACTTGTCACATCGTTGCCTGCGTGGTGGGTCGGGTCTGAATGCAGTTTTAATTGGAAGCCAGCCGACCAAGAACAACTCAGGATACCCATTCGGCTCATATAAACTCGGCATTCATGAGGGGGACCTGGAGGTGGGCAACAGCTCTTCCCTGGCTTCCTCCATATCGGTGCTTTGCAATTTTTCCGTGGTATCCCCTATTGTGGCCGGCCCTTTGTTCACGTGCACCTCGTCGTCCTGTTCGGGCCCTGGGCTGGGAGAGGGTTCTCAGGCTTGCCGGGCACAGTTTCATGCAACGGCTTCGAGCATCCAGTTGGGGGGCAGAGTCGGCACATTCTGGGCGCCAGCCTTGGCAACACCGGCGTGGGCACAGTTCCTGTTTCCAGCTTCTTGGCATCTTCAGGACAGAGTTCCGTTTTTTGGGTTGCGTTCGCAGGTTGAGTCCGATATCTCAGAAACTTCGATAATGGGCTCACAGCCCCAGTACCCCGAGGCAGTTCCGCAGGGGGCCAGCAACATCACCATGCGCTTCACGATGGACTCCCGGTACCGCCCCGAACTGTACGGTGGCAACAGCTGCAGGAATGCCACAGCGAGCTATAACTGCACTCTGTGCCTTGGTCTTCTTGAGAGTTTCTTGCGGACGAGACCTTAAACCCTAAACCCAGACTCCAGACTCCTACCGGAAACGAGACCGCTCGTTGCCACCAAACGTGGAGCCAAACCCCCCTCAAAGCATCCACAGAGTTGTTACGAAGTGCAAAATACCAAGGAGCGCGACCTGTGGCCCTGAACTCCAACCACTACCACGCATCAGTGCATCTGAAACCCGTAAACCCCCAAACACCCGCCTGACAAGCTCAAACCTTCAGCTCTCCACCAAAAGCCAGAAACTGGTTGTATCACTGTATAAATAATCTCTACAGCCCTCTAAATCCCTGAGCCTTAGCCCTAAACCCTAAGTCCCTAAACCCTAAATTCCTGAGCCCTGCGCCGAAATTTTCCAAAGCTAGCCACTCTGGGCTCGGCTGGCAATAGTAGTGGTAACATAGTAGTAACAGTATAACTATGTAAAAAGATGGTAATATTAGTGGTAATAGAATAGTAATAGTATAATTAAATAGAACTCAAACCCCAGAACTCATTCCAAGCGCGAGAGCTGAGGTGCACCCGAGGAAGCTGGGATCACTCCGCGGAGCCCGGCGTTTGGGTCCTCTGGTCGGCGGCCGGGCGAAGCGGGCGCCTGGGCTTCTCTGGAGATTACGGGGCCATTTGGGAGTATCCGAAAATAAGGGGAGGATCCTACTAGTTAGGGTACTATATTGGGGTCCCCTATTTTCGGAAATCCCCATTTTCCTTGTCTTTGGGAGGGGAGTCCTTTGCCCAGGTGTGCTAAGCGATCCCGAAAGCTTGAACCCCAATGGAGATCCACTTCTTTGGGGTCTTTGGGGCTTGGCTCCCTGGGCTTGAGGTTGTGTCAAGGTTATTGCTGGAAACGCCCGGCCTGATGACAGAAGTTTGGGGCCGTGACATTTTGGTTGCGCTGAGCATGCATGAAGTTTCGCAGGGAGGGCAGTCGGTAACAGGTGCACTACTGAAGCCTCATTCTACAGCCAGTACTTGTATGTCATGGTTAGTCATGCCGGTCGTGTTGCCATTGCTGCTTCTTTTGTATTCAAGAACTACAAGCGACATTGCTTCTTCATGACTACCAGCATGACCACGGTGACGACTGCTACTTCTGCTGCCGATGCTGCTAACACTGCTAGCATGGCCATGAAGACGACCCCGCCTCCTAGGTACCTCACCAGTGGCCCCCACGGGGCCTTGGGCGAAGCCTTCGATGCAGGCGCGGAGCTGATTCCAAGTAGTTCGCTTCGCTTCATCTTCGGTCTGCATCGGGGATGTTCGGAATCCCAGCACAGAAGACTAGGTTGAATGTGGCAACCAAAGTGCAGTTGTCGATGGTTTCCACTGTTCCATTGCGTGCCTGTTCCAGTGGTGTTGCAGGTGAGATGACGCAAATACTCCAGCCACCTCCAGAGTTGAATCTTCAAGCTGGCGAACATCCTGTGATCGCTTTCATGACCTTCAGCCAGTACCCGGCCTACGGAGAGATAGTTCGGGACAGCAGCGGCCGCTGCAGTGTGGATTGGAGCGATGAGGGAGAGCACACTTTCAAGGACAAGCGCTTCATGGTGGTGGATGCTGAGCTCATCTACCGGCAAGCACTGGCCCTCCCAAGTGAGCCGCCGGCATCTCATCCGAGGCTCTTTGGGAGTGACGACGCCTGGATGTCGCAGCGCGTGCGTCCCTTTTTGGAGGCCCTATGTGAGCCCCTGGCTCAAGGGGGCGTCGGCTGGTTTGAAGATGCCGGTGTGGCGGACGTGAAAGGCCACTTTGAGCTCTCGGCCAGAGGCTTTCGCTCCTGCCATGAAGCCTCGAAGGATGGTGGCGACATTGCAAGCTATGGGCCTGCAGGCAAATACCTTGAGTTCGACGGAAGCTCCATGCCATCATACACAGATGGACTGAAAGTTCTGCACCTACTCCGTCGGCAGTGGGCCTGCGCCGACAGTGGGTCGGGTTCGTTCGAGTCGTGTGAGTATAATGGCACCGAGACAGAGAGACTTGCTCAGGCTCTCCTTCAAGTTGACAGAGTCCGATTCAACACGACCACCTGGACTTGTGGTGTCAGCTGTGGTGCTGCATCCGGTGAGACAATCTTCGATCTGACAACCGCAGAGCCCGTGAACTACTTCAGTACCTGGTACGACGTGCTGGTTAGCCGGTCGGGCTTGTTGGATGCGGTGGACGTCTCGCGGGTGTCCGTGGCTTTGAAGGAGCAGATGGGGCTCTTCGTGTCGGCCTTCAACACCGGCCACTGGAGTTTGTGGAACGGCAACAACTGGACGCCGCACCTTTGCATCGCTGCCATGGCTTGGGCTGTCAGCTTCTGGCATGAGGAGAACGAGATGGCAAGGGAGGTGGTAGCCATGATCAACGACATCCTTTGGTTGCATCGGAGTATGTTTACAGCCGATGGTGTCTATGTCGAGGGCGTTGCGATGTATTCCTTCATGTCTGTCACGGGCCTCATTGGGATCTCTACCCTGCAGAAGGCATCCTTCGGGTCGGCCCCCGAAGCCGTTGACGAAGATGCCCTGACACGACTCGTAGACTTCCACCTTGCGAGCATGTCAACAGATGCGTACACGGTGGCATTCGGGGACTCCCACCGGAAGAGAGGATGGGGAGACTTTTCCACGTTGCAGTCGGCGCTGGCACCCAAGATTGTCCGTGATTCTGAACAAACCGAAGCCTTGACGCCCTGTGGCGCGCGGGAATACTGCGCAGCCCTTTACGGCAGTGGAGGGCTCTATGAAGATCCTTGGCGGATTAGCCCGGAACTCTTGTCGCTGAATCTGACCGACCTGGTGCTACAGTGTTCTGTGTCTGCAAGCCAGCCTCTGGGGGCCCAAACAGTCAGAGTCTTCCGCGACGGCGGCTATGCATCCATTCGGACGCCGCTGCTGGCGGCGGAAAGCAGCTTGCCGTGCTTTGGCAGCGGTCAGACGGAGATCTGCGTACAGCGGAGCCCCTCCCTGGCCGACAACATTCCCTACTCCTTCCTCGCCGTTCAGGTTCGTGTGGCAGCTCGTAGTTACATAAGCTCACTGTAGGCAGCTGAGGAAGGCTCTTAGACTAGGCAGGGGTGCAAAAAGAGCAACCGTGGAGGAAGCAAGAACCGCTGGCAGGCTCGCCCCAACTCGCAGCCCCACTCGGAGGTCGACTTCGGCACCTTCATCTGGACTGCTTGGGGGACGAGCCTCATCTCCGAGTATGGGTATGGTACCATTGCAACTGCTGTCGGGCCCTGGGACACGAGGAGGTACGAGTACATTGACAACAACCCGGCCGGCCACAACACGCTGGTGGTGCGCGAAGCTTTCAAAGATCCAGAAGAGAGGATCCTGCGGCTCTAGCTGCCCACTGTTCTTTTAGGAGGGTTTTTGAGGGTCGAGCCCCGCAGTATTAAGAAATATTAAGAGTTTGTAGCTCATAGCATAACCTAGTACTTCGTAGGCTTTGGGGCCACAGGATCAACTTCTCGCAGCTGCACCTGTCCGCGGGCAGCCTGGTCTCTTCCGCCACTCGTGTTGACAGCGGCGAAGGCGAGTGCCTGGAACTGGACGGATCGGTTCCCTATGGAGCTTCGCGAACTGATGGCTGGTTGGATGTGATGCGAAGGTATGTGTGTCCGATGTCAGATGGCGCCTTCGTTTTGATAGACCTGTTTGCCGTGAAGCGAAATCGGACATCACTGCACATCTATGGAGCGCAATACGGTGGGCCCAACTTTGATGAGGCAGAGCCTGCAAGCAGACGGCTGCACATTGAGGAGTACTTCCACACAGAGACCAGTGCACCCTTGGCCACGGATTCTGACGGCAACCGCCTGGCAGAGGAGTTGGAGTTCGACCGCGACTCAGATCCCAGTGCCTTCAAGTGGTGCTCCCACGTGGATCCCGTGGTATTGGATGCAGGCTCAGTGGCCCTCTATGCCAAGTGTGGGCTTGGAGGCTTTCGGCCAGCTGACGGCTGGGGATTCATTCGCGGTTTCTCTGTCTCCGGTGGTCATTTTGTTTATGATGGCTTGGTGACGACTGTTGACACATAGAAGCGTCCAAACTGGCTGAAGAAGCGGCGCTTCCGATTCGTCGGAAACTCAACCGTTGGCGACGAAGGGGACGTGCGACTCTTCGTACTCAGCCCTGTTGCAGCAAGCCAGACTGAAACTCCGACCATTGCTTTGGAGTCCTGTGCGGATGAACTGGGCTGCCCCCCGAACGCTAGCAAGTTAGAATGCTCCTGCATCTCCATGTGCGCCAACTCTGTCGTCCGGTGGGGCGTGCTACTTCTTGGGAGATTGCACTCCTTCACGGGCGTGGGCACCTCAGTTGGCTGCTTGCATCGTGAAAGACGGTTCTTCGGAGCGCAGTGGGAGGCTCTTGCACGCAGCTGTTTTGAACCATGACAGTGCATTCCCTCAAAGTATTTGATCTTGCACGCACCGTGTACTCCCGGTCCCGTGTTACGCAAGTGAGGTGGGAACTTGCACTGATGGCTCAGTTGCACACTCGCTGCGTCCGGAAGAGGCAGCACCGTTTTGCAAGCCCACTCTAGGCCAAAAAGCCCCAGAACCCTGAAAAGCCGAGTTCCTTTACGTTGCTCTTCAGCTCCACAGGTATCGGCTCTTCAGTCCGCAACACTGGCAGCCCTGGGCAGCTTGTAGCAATGGCTTCAGTCCGTCCGCCACTCGCTCTCTCTCTCTCTCTGTCTCTCTCTCTCTCCCTCTCTCTCACTCTCTTTCTCTCTGGTTGGTGGGTTTCCTAGAAAGTTAGCTTGTTGGTTCGTGCAAGTTCAGTCAGTGCATTCCGGGATCTTCTTGCGAGGCAGCTCCTCGAGGGACCCGTCGGCTTCTCAGTCGTTTTATGGGAGCACTTAGTCACGTCCTGATCCTTCTCTTGAACGGCATGCATCATGTGAGAGGGGCCCGAAATGCAGCGACGGTGGCAGTGGTTCGGTGCTTTTGAAATACTGCTGCAGCATGAATGGCAGTTTCCCAGGACCACGACGACAAGCGAAGCCTCGACTACGTCGAACGTTTCCCTGACGTCGACAGCCAGCACCGCCATGAGCAGCACTCAGTCGTCTTAAAGGCCCAACTCAAGCTCCGAAGATCACCGGAGTCCGGGGGTGGAGCCCAAAGGCTCAGGTTGGCTTTGCTTGTCATGAAAGAGAGAACCCTAAAGGGTTCTCACTGCGCCTACAAGAGACGCTCTAGTTCTGGCTGCTAGAAGACAGCTCTTTGCGGGGACCGAGGACGTCAACGACTGATTCGGCCAGTGCCTCGGATGCCGCCGGTCTGGTTGGTGGCGCCAATCTTCGCAGCTACCACATCTTCACGTGCCTGCTCCTGCAGTGCATTGTCATCGTATAGGTGGGCGCCTAGGCCAAATGTTGATCTAGCATGTCCTGTCAGCCTGTTCACTTGTTCCAGGAGAGGCACCCAAAGCTGTGTTTCTAGTCTGCAGTCCGCATCAGCTGTGAAAGCATTAGTATAGGGACCTTGGGCTTTATGCACTATTTTCCTTGGAGCTGCAATGCCAAGGACACCATCGCAGACGCTGCAGTCTTTGTGGCCACCTTACGCGCGGAGAAAGACAGGCCCAGGAAGTCTCAAGCCATGCATGGCTCTGGACCAGTCTTCATGTAGGCATGAGCGCAGGCATGGCGGTGGAGCAGCGGAACTGGGGATATTGCAAATTTGAGCAACCGGAGAACTATCTCGGCTCGGCCTTTGCTCAGTCAAGTCGGACTTGTGGGCAAGGTACGTCTGAACCTGGCCGAGAGAGCTACGTCGACGAGTTGATAAGGATCCTCCAGCGTGGCCATGCCGAGCCAGTAACAAACTGCGCTTTGGGACAGTGCAAGCAGATGGGTACTCTTCCGTTCGCTCTGCTGCTCCTTCACTGCGTTTCGTAATGTTTGCAGCCGACCCTGCCTCAAAACCCGAAGGGCTGTGGGGAGGGGCAAGTGCGACACTGCCTGGATGAAGGCATCAGAGCGCTGCAAGGAGTTGTTGCTGTGTGCAAGTTGACTTGCAGACTTAAAGTGCTATGGAAGGCCCCCGGCCAACAGTGATCGCCCAACCTTGTTGATATTTGCGCGTCTTGCGGCCTGGCTTCGTGGGTGTAGCGGGAGAGGGCCAGCATCAGCAAAGACACAAGTACGGAGACTAGTTACATGCGAAACCGCCTACATCGAACATCACAGCAGTCCTGGGGCATCTCTTATCCTAAGTTAGCGTTTTAGGTTTTACTTGTAGGGCAGTTTCCCAGAGAGCCCAATCCTTAAATCACAATATTAAGGCCCCTACAATTTAAGATATATCCCTTAAATAAGGGGTGTTGGGTTCTCTGAGTTAGGGCGTCAGCAGCTCTGCCTCGGATCTCGTGGCAGAGACATGGGCAGCGGCGCTTCCTCGGATCCCCGGCAGCGCGCTGAGGTGGCTGTGACTCGGCAGACTGAGGTCACAGACTATAAGAGATCCAAAGTATGGACTCATCTGACGGCATCTAACGGTTTATGGGTTTAGGGTTTAGGTTTCAGGGCAGCTGTCGGGGCTCGTGGTTGAGTGCCTTGCAGTCTTAGAGTCTTAGGCAATCTCGGGCATGAATAATGAGCAGTAGCCCGGACTGCTGCTGGCGCTCGTGACCATAATCTATAGTAGAAAGCCAGAACGTTGGAACATTCCAATCCTCATGCCCTTAAGGTAAAGTATACAGGATCCTGGCACTAATCCTCCTAAACCCATGTTCCAACTTTCGGGGATTCGCTGTAGATCAACTTGCCGTGGTCGCGTGAATTCGACATGGTTCCTGTGAGCACAGATGCCATAAAGTGATTGAGTCGTAGAAGGCTTGGAGCTTTTGCAAGCTGAAATGTGAAACCCCCCTTTGTAGCATAAGTAATGTTGGCACAATAAACATCACGTGGTCTGGTGGCTGTAGCGATCCGCGCTCATAAAATGTTTTTCGCCCGGCCCCGAAAAAGCCCGAAACCTGCAGCCCGAACTAGACCTTGAGAGCCTTTAAGAGCTTTGCCTCGCAGTCCCAGCAGGCTCGGAGCTTTCGCGGCAATAAAAGAGATTTCCTTCAACCGGGCTGCAGGGTGCTGTCTTATATGTATCGCCCAAAGCAGGGAAGTCAAACGCCGCCGATGGAGATAGAGATCTGGGGATACATTTTGGCTTCTCCAAAAATAGCACCAAGCCACGAGACCGCTAAGCCTTAAGCTCCAGTTCCCGACCTCGTCCGAGGAAGAATGGTTTCAGCAAGCAGACGTCGATCAGACCCTCGCCTTCTTCTCTGAGTGCTTCTGGGGGCTTGGGTTGGTTTGGGAATCAGGGTTTTCGAATTTGGAAAAGTTGTCGGCTAGGTTTCGGATTCGGAAATGCACGGTCACGCTCCTCCTCCACCCCTCTAACCCCAAGTCCCAATCCCTAAATGTGAAAGGTACTTATCGACACTGCAATCACGACAGAGGTAGCAAGGTACGACATGTTATCGTCCGGATTGGGTGGAACGCATGACGAAGACACACTTCAAAAAGCGAGCCAGGGTAGACAGCTACACGCAGAAGTGGCGCAACCTGTGAAGGGGTATCCAAGAAAGTGCGACGAAGCCTTACTGCAAACAACATCACCAAGAAGACATGGTGCAGACAAGACACAGTGAAGACACGCTACAGAGCAGCTCGAGGTTCAGAGCAACACTACACCATGCTGGCAGGAAGATGGGTATAGAGAATGCTGTGCGCACGTCGTCGGGGTTGAGAGTTCAGTAGCTTGTGGCCTGAGCCCTAAACCCCAAGTCAGCTGAGGGATGGCAAGCTGTCGCTGGACGAGCTGCTGGCAGCTGCGCATGCACACCACGAAGAAAATGAATGGACCCGCGAGCGCATCTTATCTTGCCTCAATGCGTATGATCAGAACGGCGACGGCATGCTGGACAGAGCAGAGTGGCAAGCTGCTTGTGAAGGCGCCATTTGGTGGCAAGCGGCATGCGAAGGAGCCTTGTGACCCCTAGGGAGGATGGGCTTCCCAATCTGATGCGTCTTGATCTTGAATGTGGCAAGACGAATTCCGGCCAAAAGGCCAGCCTCCAGTGCCTCGGAGCTTGGTGCACGAAGGGTCGGATCTGCAAGTGGCGAGACTTTCGGCGTTTTCCAACTCGTCTTGCACAGCTCTGCTCCTTGCGGAGGGGTTCCGGATCAATCCTGTGCCTGTGATGCCTGCGACGGTTTTTTCTGACGCATGCATGAGTCACGCCCGTCAGCGTCGCATGTTTTTCCTTTCCTACACTGTCTACTGGCCGAGAAGCATGCGGCTCGTCAGCCTTTCTCAAGCACCTAGACATGTTGTTGCCTCGTGATGGTTTGTTGCACATCTCCGCCACTGATGACAGTTTGCTGGGTTCGTCTTAAGCAAGTTGAGACAAGTCGCCATTATAGGGGTCTGCAGTGAAGCATAAAGAATACAGTCATTATGGTAACTTGAACTGAGTTCTCAATCAGGAACCCGGCTTGGGGTGCTACCGCCCCGCCAATCCCTCGACCGTTCTTCCTGCGACCCACAGGACACTGCATCCGGGCCCCGGCTAAGCCATGCCCAGGTTCATGTCCGTTGCTTGTTTCTTGTTGCTCACTGTAGTGGTTCTGTCAGGGTGGATGACTTCCGGCTGAAGCTAAACCCTAAGCCCTGAACTTTAAACCTTAATCCGCAATTCTTCAAGCCCTAAATTCCCAAAACCTGGGTAGAGTGAGAAACAGCTTTGGGGCGTCGCCACGATCATGCTCTGAGCCAGCACTTCTTGGAAAGGCCTCTGCTTGAGTTTACGGCTTCGGAGTTCTTTCTTTGGGTTTGGGGCTTCAGGTTCAGGGTCAGGGGTTATTCCGGAGCCAGAGCTTCAAGTGCGGTGCCCCCGATACTGTGCTTTTGTCTGTTTACGGGCATTTGTTGGGTTCGCTGCCTTGTGCAGGATCTGTCCTGCGAGTAGACATCATGTGCAGCTGTATATGCCTATACATATACCAGTAATGTAATCATATATATATATGCATAGGAAACTATACATGTATAATTAGATACACAGACGTGTACATAGATGTGTTGACTTATATACACACATACATACATACATGCATACTTGCACATAAATATGAACCAATAGATTAAGAACGAATGAATCACAGTATGTACCGGTACCAGGGTTCTTCATGCCATGATTTGTTTGGAATCTAAATCCAGGAATGCCTTAATCAAGTTCCTACAAGTACGTCAGGCAGCTGTCTAAAGGCTTCCGTGACAGGGCTCAGGAAGATCTACCAAAGCGTTTTGGAGAGATGTCCAAGCCTGAGCCCTCTGCCATGCACCCTGGATCTGACCCCAAAAGGAACTTTCCGAAACTAAGGGGTACCTTAGTCTGGGGCTTTATATTAAGGATCCTACTAGTTGGGGTACTGCAGTAGGGTCCCCTGTTTCAGAAACCTCCAGATAAAGCCTGAAGCCATTGCACCTGCTGCCTCTGCTGCCACGCTTCTTCCAAGCTCCCACAAACCCCTTCAAGACCCCGCACCACGAAACTTTGATCCTAGGGGTGCAACACCAGCGGAGGGCGCTACACACCTTAAGCCACCCATGACCCTTAACACCCCACGCCCTAAAGCTGAAACCAGAGAACCTCAAGAATCCAACACCCGTGATCTCAGGACCCGGGAGTGCTTTAGTTACTGTTTTCTGCTTTCAACTCAGGACCTCAGCCCTAAACCCTCAACCCCTAAGGCCAAAGTTCCCATTGTCAAGGGTTTAGGAGTTTAGGGCTTAGGGTTTAGTAGTTTAGGAGTTTAGGGTTTTAGGACGTCTGCGGAGACGCTGAAAGCTCGTTGGGCGCCATGGCGACGCTCATCGCCGGCAGCCTCTTCGCGGGCCGGGTGCGGCCCCGTCCTTCCATCTGGCCCCCAACCCTAAACCCTAAACCTTGAAACCCTAAACCCTAGTAGCCTAAACCCTAAATCCTAAACCCTAAACCCTAAACCGGTTTTTTAGGGCTTGAGGCGACTCCTGGGGTTTGGGGTTTCAGGGTTTAGGGTCCCGTGGGGTTGAAGAGTCTAGGGTTTAGGAAAGACCAGGGTGTGTAGTTTAAGAGCCGAAGGGGTTTAGGGAACTGAACATGAATGATGGGTCTAGGAATTGGGGGGTTAGGGAACTTACCGAGAACTTGCAAGAGGGTTCAGAGAGTGTTCCTGAATCAATGCTTCGGGAGTTTTCTGAAGATTGAGCATCCGTGGGAAGGAAGCTGCCCTGGCCCTAGACCCCTAAACCCTAAAACCCTAAAGCCCTAAACCCTAAACCCCGAGCAGCTCAGTGCTCCGGAGAGACAAACGGCGCATCAGTGCACAGCATGTAACTTGCGACGGGTGTGGCATTTGTTGGCATCCGACTGCTTTGACAAGGCGGGATGCTCTGTGTTGAATATCAACCCGTTGGTTTACCATAATAACAGGGAAGTCCGAAGTGCCGTTGCCACACTTCCTTCAGGATGACGTTCTCGACACCCCCGGGGTCCGGGACTGAGAGAGGGCTCTCCTCTGTAGCTTCACGACAGCAGCAAGGATTTGGGGTTTAGAGGGAAGGCGTGGCAACAGCAGGAAAGTTGAAAAGCTTTCTACGGGTGACTATTATTTGGTGTCACCTACGTGGATCTGCAAAGGGTACCGGTTTGCTTTCGAGGTTCACAGACGAGTTACTCTACGGCTCGTACCAACTGGAGCTCGGGATGACGGTTGATAAGAAAACTGGACGTCCGTCACGCAGCACCGTGCACGCAGGACTTGCCTTGCTTCCCGTGGATCTGCTCCCGTGGCCCGAACAGTGCTCGTCCCTCTGATCGAGCTACAGTAGCAGCAATGCATAAATTCACAGCGAAACATGGTAGCTTTAATACACTCTTCAGCAAAATTGACAACCTGTCGCCAATGCCATCGGTTGACGATCCGACTGGGACAGTTGGGTGCCAGTCGGCCCCGCTTCAGTATGACTCCAGGTCGCTTGGCAACTAAACTACGGCCGAGAGAGACTGAATTTGAGCTGGGACCAGCCGATTGCATGTGGCATCTGCCTTGCTCAAGAGACTCAGGTGCAGATGCTGCTGTTTTCTGGTCCAGCAGCTGAAGGATCAGCTGCTTGACGAGTCTCCAAGCTGTACTTGAGCACCCCCACACAGCATGCGGAAGGGGTAGATTTTGTTCCCGTCGTTAGGAACAGACACAGCATCGCAAGATGCTTGCACGCCCTTCAGGCTTCGCTGTGACAACCATGCACGGTGTGCCGAGACCGAGATGCTGCAAAATGCGTTTCTCGGGTGCACTTGGTTCGAGTCATGGTTGTGGCTACTTGTGACTACTTGTGGCTAGATTTGCAATCGTGTCTTTGAAGAGAGCGATTCGGCTTGTTCCGACTCCTCAAGGAGCTGCACTCTTGCATGCTTACAAAGAAGGCATCAAGGTTGCTGCAACCAGATGCAGCGTGGCAAGGTGCATCAGCCTGCAAAGCGAGAACAATTGGCTGTGGACCGAGACTGAGAAACGGCACAACGAGCTTTTCAGCGGCAGTTGGTTCGAGTCGTGGCACTTGCTGGGTTTGCGACTAAACTGGAAACTTGGTCAGCAGTTTTGATGAGGTGAGGTTCCGTTTCCGAGTCTTCGAGTTGTATGTATGCTGACACGTTTACACAATCACTCCACGACATCCCGGATTGCATACAGCATTGTAGGACTTTGAAACGGCGCTCAGGTGCATCAATCTCCGTTGTCAAAACAATGCCCTTTGGACTGGCAGTGAGAGGTGGCTCAACGAGCTTCTCAGCTGCAGTTGATTCGATGCTTGGGCCAGGCTGCTTTCGTGATGTAAGTTTAAGTCCGGCGTATTCTGGCTTGTCTTGTAGATCTATCCCGAAAAGCTGAAAACAAGCAACTTTCGAAAGGCGAAACAAACACAACGCAACGGCACGGACTTCGGGAGACTCTGTTCTGCCATGTGCTGCCTGTCTTTGTGGTAGTTTTCTCAGCTTTTTATTGCTCTGTTTTTGGGAAAGGTTCCGGGCGGGACTCAGGAGCCTTTCTCTGCGTTTCCCAAGAAGATTATGCACCGAAAAGGCAAGAACAAGGTACCAAAAAAGGCGCCCAGCTTTTGTGCTTACCAGGGAAAGCGCAGACCAAACGTAAAAAATCGCAAAGCACACGCCGTGGCTTTATTTGTGCGTTTTCCTGCGAAAACGGCAGAAAAGAAGCACCAACAATAACGCAACACACATGACTCAAAACGGCAATCTGGTTTTGCAAATGGTCTTTTCGGCTTTTTGGTCGGGATTTCTTTGCGTTGTTATCGGGTTTTCGAGCGCTACATCTGCTTTTTGCGCATTGCAGGGTGCTTGGAATAGCATTTTCTGCATTGCTTTGGGATATGCAGCAGACAGCTTGCATCGAAGATGTCGTTTTGGAGCCGTCGAGCTGTACTCTAGCAGACTGTAGCATGCTTACACAGCAGGAATGAGGGATGGAATCGCTCTGCTTGTTACAAGCAGATGTAACATCGATCAGTCAGAGCTCAGGTGCCGCAAGCTTCGCCGTGACAACGAGAAGCTGTGCAAAAAGCTTCTCAAATGCGGTTGGTTCGATTTGCTTTCATTGTTGTGCCGACGACGGAAAGTTCTTCTTCGAAGTTTATTCAAGCAGGTTGACAAACAGGTCGCGTCCGGAGCATGTTTCGACACGTTGAAGCGTTTGAGGGCTCGCATGATCGTGTGGGCGGTGTCGGGCCGTACTTGATGCTCAGCTCGTTACAGGTTGTTTCCCTGCCTCGTGTATCCGCTTGCAGCCATCGTCCCTTTAGGCTACGCATCAAGGATGAGCAGGCTTTTGGGGCCCTGGACATGATGCAACTTCACGGCAAGATCCGTCAATCATTTGCAGACCTTCAGGTGTATCTGCCTCCGAGATATAGTGCTTGAAGATAGATCCAGCTGTGCATGCTTTGCAAACTCCCTTGTTGATCTTCCTGCCTTCATGCATTTGCCATTCCTCAAGTTTTGTACCAATTCCGGTTGTTCTGCTTTCCGCGCAGATGTAGGCGGTTGCATGGACCCAGGCGCCTGGTCACAAAGGCAGAGCACGACAGCGGCACGACGTGCGATCAGCAGCTCAGCTGATGGATAGCTCTCGAGCAGGGATTAGGAGTGAGGCAGCAGTCGACCCTTTTCATCCGTCCTTCGAAGCTTTGCCTCTTGGCCGCCGATGAGCCCGGGGGGAATGCAACTTAGAAGCGAATGTGCGGGTACGGCCTCCTCTGAAGATTTTCCGAACTTGAGTCAGTGGCATTGTCCAGCTGATGAGCAAGTGCCGATGCCTGTTTTATTGCATCATCTTTCCGTGACTTGTCTCAAATGCCAGTGAGTGACAAAGCGCGGTCGAGCAACTTGACTCGAGGGACTCGCGACACTGGGATTGATGCGCTTCGCTCGAGGTGCAGGACATGCTGGACTGGCGCGTGACATCCCGGCAGACTCGGACTCCTGAGGCCAGCAATTCATGCCCTGGCCAAGCCGACCAAAGGGTTTACACCATAGAGGGTAGTCACGATGGGAACGTGTCTGAGCACCCGGTGAGTGAAGTTTGGTTGAAGCGGTCTGTCGAGTTCAAACCAAGGTCTGGTTGCAGCATGTGGCCGAACTTGGCAGGTTTGACACGCCGGATCCCAAGATCTAGGACCATGTGATTTCGGTGCTCATACTGTTTGCATTACGATTGCATTCGTGGGAGTGACACGCACATCTAAATGCGCGCAGGTCCGCGTCCATCCTCGCCTATGCTGCTGCTTTGGAACGATGCCTTGGCCCTCCGAGTCGGTCAAACTCCGAAGTTTTCGGCGACGATGTCGCCTACTGGAAGCAGTTCGAATGCCTCTTGATCTGTTCAAGCTTCTGAAAGAGATCTTCCTGCCCGTAGTTTCCTGTCAAGCTTGCGCAATCGCTCGCTCTGCATCTCAGGCCAGCAGTGGTGTATCCAGCTGGCACGAGCTGAGACAACCCACTTTGCCGAAAGTCGTGTCCGCGACATCGTGGTCACAAACCTTCGCCACTCGTTTCGTCACTGCCTGGACCCAGATGTCTCCGTCCGTGAAGCGGCACAGGGTGTCGTTGTGAACCATGCCTACGGCGGCCTCGGCTTTGTGAACGAGCTGATCGCAGAAGCAATGCCCAGTCAGATGAGAGACCTCATGTCAACCGGTGGAGAGACCCAGAGGACCTGGGCTCGCATGTGGGTTTGCATGCAACATTTCGAAGATCTCCTACGAGCTCTGACGAAGCCTCAGCGTCAGGAGTGGGTGTGCTTATTGGTCGAACTCCTACATCGTCTTCAATCAACTTCAGCTCCACTTGCCTGGGCCACGAACCAGAAGAGGGCCACGAACCAGAAGAATGTGATTGACGATCTGAAGCTCTTTTGGCGAGCAGATGGAGATCCAGTTCGAACTTGTGCAGACGCAACGCAACAACTGCGGGCCTTAACACGCCACCCGAACTTCGAAGGCGTAAGGCAGAACCTGTACAGCCTTCTCGCGTGCTGAAGTCCGTCTCACAAGCAGCACAATGCTCTGGAGAGAAGATCCCCTAAACCCCTAAACCCCCCAAAACCCTAAAACCCTAAACCCCGAAGCCCTAAAACCCTAAACCCCTAAACCCCCAAAACCCTAAAACCCTAAGCCGCCCTCCCGTGGCTCCCAGCATCTGCCTTCTCGAAAGCTGGGCAGAGGGCCGAAAGCGGCCACCCTGAATGTAGACGCCGGAGTTGCGGACTTCGGCTTGCGTGAGGCGCTGGCCCCAGGGTTTAGGGTTTAGGGTGGCATCTTTCAGCTACGAAAATCCGCGCACCGCAAGACCCTAGATCTGTAGCCTTCTGACGAAGACTGTAGCGTGTGTGTGTGTGTGTGTAACCTGTCAGTGTTGTTGTGATGCAATGCAACATTGTAGCTACTTCTGCGACAGTGGTCTTTGATTGTTGCTATGGTTCTGTTACATGTCTTCTAGCGGATTTCTTGCTTGAGTGCTACATCTTTCTGCTGCTGCTACGCTTTGTTACGCTTGGTCACACGATCAGCATTGCTACGCTGTTCCTCTGCCCTTTGTGGTATCGCCACTGTTGTGGCTGCCCACAATATTGCAGTGGTAGCCCGGCAAGAGCTTCTCACTCGCCAGTTGCAAGTCTGCTTCAATACCCTGGCAGCTTAAACTCCGGGTAACTTGCCACTGCCGCTGCTGTTGTGCTTGCTGTTCTTGTTTGCTATTTGCGTCATGGTTTCAGCTTTTCAAGTCGGTAGAATCATGTGCTATCGTGTTTGTGTGTCACGGGGCGCCGCTATCTCGTAGCATGTCTCACGGTCGAACCCTTTTATGTTGAACTACCCTGGTGCAATTACCTTCATTCAACAGGCGACAACAAGAGGCTCGCACCCTAAACCCCAAAGCCGCAACCCGTAAACCCTCAACCCCCTTGACCCCTCAACGCACCGACTCCGACCGTCATCCCTGAATCTTCGACCCTCAAAACTAAGCTCTTCTACCCTACACCGAATGCTCCCGACAGACCATGCGCGTGGCGCTCCTCTCGCTCCTGTGGCTGGTGGATGGAGCTCAGGCCCTGAAGATTACATGGGTTCTGCACGGATTTACAATCTGCACAGAACAGCCGACAACATGGCGAAAAGGTCCGAAAAGCTCTGCTCATAGGCAAACCCGGTCTTCGAACTGCGATAGGCGGTGTATGGCGAAATGAACGGTTCTGTGTGGCAGGGTCTCAAAACTCAGATGGCAGCTCTTGTTAGGTGTGTGACGTTGGCTCTTGAAGTCCGGGTTTATGATTTGCCTGGTTCAGTTACTGGGTTTGTGCATCATCTTACTCAAGATACCCCAAGCCCTGACCCCTGAATCGTAGCATGCACCGTGCCAAAACTCTGACGGCCTCATCCCTGAGGAGCACGTGCGCATCCACGTGCACGCATGTGCATGCACACATATATGCAGTATGCAGGCATGCATACATGCAACATACACCTCATTTCTGTGCCACTGGCCGCAGCCAGGTTCAAGTGAATCGTTGGCCCGGAGAGGCCGGCCAAGGGTTGTTGAAAAGAGGTTTCTTCTGAGAGGAATATCTCAAACTGCATATCTGATAACCAAAGCGGAAAACGGTTTAAGCAATGGTTGTGATCTGATGGCAACGATAGCTAGTTCGCGTCTGCGGCTCTGACCAAGATGTCTCCGAAAAGTCATTTTTGAAGGTGCTTCGTTTCGCTGTGAGGTCGACGGTTTGGGTTTGAAGTAGGTTCCATTCCGTACGGTTCGTGAGGCCAGAGCAGGGTTCCCGTGGTCAAGCAGGAGCTGCGGATCCGTAACGGGAGCCCGAGTCTTTAACTGTCATTCGTCGGGATGATCATGAGAGCAAGTGTATATGCTCTTGATGCCGTGGGTTCTGTGTCTGCATGTTAAAGGCTTGCCGTCTCTGCGGAGGAATTTTTACAGCCACAGGCGTTCACAGGGACACTGTCTTGCGGACGAATCCCCTGCGCGCATTCCCACAGACAAAGAAGTTGGATTAGTGCGGCCGCACTCAATGCTAGGGCAGCTGGTGGTCCTTCGGCACATCTGGGAGCTCACTTCCGGAAGATGTCCAGGCAGGGCTGCTCTGATTGTAGGTTTGTTATATTTAGCGATTAGGGTTCAGTAAGTTTGTTTGCGGCCTCAAGACGCCCGAAGCCTAGATGTCAATGAAACTTGGGGTAAATTCCTTTCTGAACGCTACCCGAGGCATACATGTCAAAAAGGATCGGGGTAAGTGCCGCACCATAGTCGCACCGTCCCCGATGGAGAGCAAAAGCAGCAAGAGGTACTCGGAGAGCAGCGCTGTGAGCCCGGTTTCCTGAACCCTTGAACCCCTGTACTCTGGGGGCTTAAATAATTTCCAATACTATTTTGGGGGGTTCCTAATTATAGAAATAGTATAATGGACCCCAGAACCCTATCCCTAGGCCCTATTCTCAAAACCTGTTTAGGGTGTAGGCTTCTGGAACCCTGTCCCCGTCCTTTAAGATCCGAAAGCCAACAAAGCCCGAAGCCCTAAAGCCTAGCACCCTTAAAGCCCCCAAAGCGCAAAACCCCTCAATCCGAGGCCTAAATCCCCTAAACACCCACGGGCCCGGAGAAGTAGGATCCCTCATATATACCATCAATCTATGCTAAAGGATCGCCACAGAAAGCAACCATACAAACCTTACCAGACATAACCCGTAACCCTATCAAGCCCCGTCAACATTTCATGAACTCCATGGAGCCTATGAACCACCATAAACCACCATGTAAAGCTTTGTACAAGCATGTAAAATCGCCGCCTGAACTGTACACCCTAAACTCTGACCGACTCTAACCCCGACTGTAACCCCTAAACCCCTAAGCCCTACACCCCTAACCCCTAAACCCTAAGCCCCAATAAACCCATACACTCTTAGGCCCTAAGCCCTCAAGGCCCTGGTCGCAGGGGAGGAGGAGGCTCGCCCTCCGACCCTGGCCACCCTGCAGCCGGAAAGCGGCCCGATGGAAGAACGGAGGGTTTGGGGTTTCTTTACGGTTTAGGGTTTCAGGGTTTAGGGTTTCAGGGTTCATTCAGGGATTAGGCGTTGATGTGTGTTTCAGGGCCAGAGTTCAGGGTTTGTGGTGTGTAGTTCCCAGAGAACCCAGCACTCCTCAACTAAAGAGCTCGGAGCTTGCATTGCAGAGTTTTGTTTCTTACTCTGGTACTTATATCATCGGCTCCTTAGAAATAAAAGAAAGACATGTCCCATGAACAGCATGTGGCTCAATCATAGGGTGTCGGACTCTCTGGGTTCCTGAGGCTCTTGGTAGGGTTGAGGCCGGCTTTGCAGCGGCTTTGCTGGGGCGGGTTAGGATTGCGGCGAAGGATGCCGAGCATGTGAAGCAGCAAGTGAGCGCGAAGCATGTCCCTGATCACCTGCTTATCAAAATTAGACTTTAAACCATAACTAGTGTTAAGCCTCCCCATAATTCGAGGCATCTTCCTTAATTAAGGGGTGTTGGGATCTCTGNNGGCCCTGTGCGGAGGCCGGCGATGATTCAAAAGGCCCAGGTCCAGATGCCTGCGCAGGCGGCCCTTCCGGGTTTCAGGCGTTTTTGGTGGTCTGGTGCTAAAAGGGGGTGAAAAGGGGCTCTGTAAGGGGTTCTACGAGGGTTCTATGAGGGTTAAACAAGTGGGGGTTCTATAAGGGTTAAAAGGGCTCTGTAAGGTGTCCTATGAGGGTTCTCTGAGGGTTAAACGGGCTCTCGGAGGATTTAGGGGTTCAGGAGTTTTAGGGG